ACGTTGTTCTAGTATTATTTTGTGAATTGTGTATACATGTTATACAAAAAATTTAGAGGGAAAGAGATACTGTTGATATTGCACAATATGTACTTTCTGTTGTTAAGTTCACTTAGTTTTTAAAAATGGCAGTTCGCATGACAAAGGTTGTGATGGTTGTATCAAGGAGGAAGCACTGATAATGGACGTGATCCATCTGCAGGAACTCTCATTTGCCGTGGCTCGTGCACTTCTCTCTACAATATGCAAAGTGCAGAGCTGGCCCCTCTCAAAATTGGTGTTAGATTTTAGAACTGACAATTAAGATATATATTCAAGGAAGGCATAATTCTAAACAGCCCCTCTCTTGTCACTACTCTTTGATTACACTTAGGTGGAAAAAAGACATTTAATTGTTTCAAAGATGATTATTTTTTTAGTAAATATATCGTAAATGGGGGAGATTAATAAAGGGCTGTTTTTTCTCAGCTTGTGGTTTCTCATTACATCAGTTACAGCTCAGCCTTCCTCTTAACTAGAGTGCAGGCATGAACTGGAAAAGAATGAGCTAATCCGCGATAGATCAGGTTGAATAAAGATCTCCATTCATATCTTTACCTTTCATCCCTTGTTCTGAGTGCCAAGAATTAACGCTGTTTGAAAGTACAAACCGAACCTGCCAAGCTTCGGACGGCTCAGATAATCCTAATTATTTTAAATGTTAGTGAGAAGGGCAGCAGTTCCACTCTGGAAAAGAGTTCTATTGTGAAACATTAAATATCTGCTAAGTGGTATTGATTGGACATGATTTTATTTCCAAACACCATGATTATCACGAAGCGGAAGAATTTGTTGTTTAAGAAATTTTCATCAACTCTTACGCCTGCAAACTCTAGGAAACCCAAGAGGCCAGCACTTTTGTTTTCTTCCTGTCAGCATCTAGGTGAAGACCTGCTAACAGTTGAAGAATGCTACTTGCGTTTTTATTTTTAAATGGTTTCCCCGTGGGAATTTAATAGTATTTAACATATAGAGGAAGAAAAAAATTTTTTTTCTCCGGCATGAATATCCTGTTTTCTCACATCACTGGAAGAGAATTATTCGTTCCAGTCCATTGACTTCCAACAGATCATTCAAGTTAAAAGTCAGGGGTCTTTGCAATGTCAAAAGATTTAGCAGTTAGAGGTTTTTGTTTTGTTTTTTAGAGAGATTTTTTGGGGGGCAGTATATAATATTTTCCAAAAAAGAATACTGATTGTTAGAGGGGATTACTGAAATCATTGAAAGTTTCTTTTTTTTTCCATCAGGGGTAAAAGTGATTATGTGTAAGGTTTTTTGTTTGTTTTTAAATAATAATAAAGACAGACTCCAGCTTCTGTAGACAAATAGGCTATTAGAGAGAAAACAGATACTGGGCTCGCTGGTTCAAACAAGGGTCAGCCTTGGCAGTTTACCCACCTTTCATTGTAACACGAAAAAAGATCAGATTGGGCACGTTTTTCTTTTTTTTTCTTTTTCTTGCTTTTCAGTCTCTACTTCCGTCTCCAGAAGTCATTTCGTCCATTTCTGTAAGTGCTGGGAGCCTGTCAATAATTACAGGGTAGCATAATCCTGATTGTTTATTGCCTGTGAATGCTTCCTGCCCCCCAACCCCAACACAGCTGCCCTCATCCCCACTCCCACCCCCTTAGCACGGGAGCAAAGCGCTAACATCTTCACTGATGCAAATAGTGGTGTGTTGAGCATCTCTGGACCAATTATTCTTTCTTTCTTTGGCCTTATTCCCCAGAGTGGAATTACCAGGTCAGAGGGTATGAACAGTTTTATGGTTCTTATTACATGTCACTAGATTGCTGTCCAGAAAGATTGAGCCAATTTCTAGTGCTACCAACAGCGTATCTTTCCTCCCAGTCCTACCAACACTGGGCATTAGCATTTTTACAAAATAATTAACAGGAACCTTTTGAGTTGAAATTAGCCTTGTGCAGGCAGGGCTCATTAAAATCAACTTAAAAAGCAAAAAGGGTAATTTTGACTTTTGAATTGGTAAAAAATGATTTACAATAATCAATTATTACTCTTTCCCCTGACAAAGTTCAGTAAAGCTATATTAAAATGGAAGGGGTGCCTTTAAGGATGGTAGAAAAATAGATTTTGGACATTAGTCACTAAGATAAGCACTTATGAAATCTTTAATGCACTTGGAACTACTTTTATGAGGTGCTACACACAATGAGTTAAACAGATACCATCCCTAACCTCAACAGCCCATTATTCAGAGACAATGCTAAGCCTTGAACAAAAGTAAAAATAACATGGATTTAAATTTTGAGTGGAGAAACGCTTTAAAAAATACAGGTATTTTTCAAAACAGGTTGAGTTCATTTATTTGCATCTTCTCTGGAGTGCAGTCATGCATTAAGTATGCTGGGAGCCTCCCTAGTCCGTGCAGGTGACACAGTCTGCATGTCTTTGTAGCCCCAAGTCACAGGAACACTGTCCAAGAAAATACCCACTAGGCAAGTGAGAGCAAAAGGGAGTCATCCCCAAATTCCTTTGTTTTGCAGAATTCCCGCCCCTCCCTCTTTCAGTCCCAAGTCAGCTAAATGGGGAGTGGGAGGTGGGTGGCTGGGGTCAGGGGTGTCTTCTAGGTCAGCTGCTAACTGAAGGAAGAAGGCAGGCCCAAGGTTCAGAATATGTCAGAAGAACACTTACCTATTCCTTTACAGCCTCTGCATTAGTCTCACAAGGCTCAGTTATTTTGCCTCCTTAAACTCATACAGAGATTAGGAAGGGTCAGTGGCCAGGGACTAAATGTGGCACCCAAGAGTGGGATGGTGCAGGGACAGAAGCAAGCCAGAGGGTCGGGCTGACCAGTGCCACACTGCCCTTGGTAGCTTCCACAGGGTCCCCTCTGTCAAATGGAGAGAATAATTCTCTCAGTGAATGGTTTGAGGATTAAATACCTGATTAAAGTATGTGGCATACAGGAAGTAGTCAGTAAATGTTCACTCCCTTCCCTATCCCTTCTCTATAGAGGAACTTCTGTCACTGGTTTGAGGTGGGGATGGGGGTAGGCAGATTAACTCATAGTCTCTCGGGTTGGCTCTTAGTCGGCTCTCCAGATCTGTGTATGGTAACAAGATTTCAGAGCAAAGTCTACCACCTTTGGAAAACATTTCTGTGTATATACAACATCCTTGTGCATGTAACACAATTCATAAATCATCTTGGATTTGCAGGGAATTTCAAATCTATATAACAATGCAAATTTAGTAAGAAGCCTTTATGAACTGCAATAAAATGAAGGCTTCAGATTTCATAGGTTCCCAGTTTTTTTTGGTTGCCACTATGTATTTATATATTCATGTGCATGCTTTTTTGACATCTATAAAGTACTATTTAATGGCTCTTTTTAAAAAAAAAAAAAGCTTTAAACTATTACCCTTGCTTTTTATTTCCGTTACTAAACAAATATTCTCAATATCAAAAGAAATTGCTTGTCAGGAAATTGCCTAAATTGTTTTTCAAATTTATTCACTTACTAAGCTTTCAGATCATGCCTTTTCTTATTGGATATTGAGGTAGCTGGACAAAACTATCCATCTGTCTGTCTGTCCATCCATATGTCACATTAAAAGAAAGGGGCTTTCTGAAATAATTTGGTCCAGGGGTGTGGTTAAAGGTCCGCTTCTTAAATCCCAGCTCTGTTCTTTTATTTCTGTGTGGTTCCACTGGCTTCAGCAAACCTTTTCCAAATCCATAACAAGCGTAAATAGTGTTCTCTTGTAAAAAGGTCTCTTTTCAGCATGGTAATATACCTTATTAAATTCCAAACATAATAAGTATTGATGGCAAACACATCAGGACCCAGTACAGCTCCTACTATGATTTAGTTCTCTACAAATGACTTCAGCACTCAGCTCCCAATGCATTTTGCTAATTACATCATAGATTTCCCTATTGATGAACACAAGCTGAATTAACACAGGAGCACTAATGTACCCTTTCACCATTATTGTTGTACAAGAGGCCGTGGCAGATGCTGGCAGTTAGTTACACAAACATTAGTATTAACGATTGGCCATTTGGAATTGGTGACAAACTACTGCCCGGCAGAATCCTGAGGCTGAAACCAATCAGGAAGTTAATGAGGAGAGAAATTACCACTGCAGCTTCCCCTTAATTACATTCACACTAGGCAGGAAGGGAGTTCTGGGGGTGGATCTGAACTCGGCTAAGGTTAAGAAGGTCAGAGACCCTTTTGCTTAAATTTTGTATCTACTGTGGCTTGTAAGGTTGCAAAAATTGTTCCACACATTATTACTTTTGCATCCTTCATATTTAATGTCGGTTTCCCAGTGCAGTTTGATGTTCACAAGTTTGCTTTTAAAATCTTTACTTGACTAATATTTTAGTATGGTATAATTCAATTTCTTTTACTTCTTATGTTTTTAAAAAGTTTCCCTCCTATTTACTGCTGTTTAGTTTTTAAAAGTTGTGTATGCTGACCCCCTCCCAAGTGTTTGTTCCCCTACATCCAGGAAAAATAACAGGAAAGTTGATAAGCTGTCCCCTTCACTCGCTATATATTGAAAAACTAGGGTTACCTGTCAAATGGTGGAAATACAAGGGTGGAGTCTTGCTTGGGGTAATTTGTCAAATGGATCACTTGACAAGACAAGTTCTGTTAGCATCCTTCGCATAAAGGGGAGGGTCTCAGTGAAGGGTGGAAATAGTTTCCCCAAAGAGAGGGGAGCAGACTGTTTTTTGTTTTTAATGAACATAAAACTGGAACTCTGCTACCTAACTTTCTCCTCTGGTTAAATAGATATATTGTGCAGAAATACAATTTTTTTATTGTAAAGAAGTGCTGGGGATTTTGAGTGTTTATAAAAAGACTTTCAACTTGGAATAGAAATGCAGAGTGCCTCTTTGTTGGATCCCCTAATTGAATGCTGCATGTAGAAAGACTAGCCACTTTTAACGGACTCCTCTCCCTCTCTCTCCCCACTTCCCAGTATTCTCGCCGCCCAGCAGTCAAGATTCTGGCTTGGTTTCCCTCTCCAGCAGCTCTCCTATTAGTAACGAGAGCACAAAGGGAGTGCTCGAATGTGAGTCCGCCTCAGAGCCCAGCAGCTTCACGGTCACGCCCGTCATCGAGGAGGACGAGTAATCGTCGCCCCATGCCTTTGGCCGTTCACTTGGAATAGCAGGCTAATTCCGTTTATACACAGGGTTTGTTATTAATATTTTGCCTTGACTTAACTGTTGAAACGTGTTTCGCTTACACTCCTTAGAGCTTAGTCCAGAGGCTAAAACACATTTGGAATAGTTTAGGATCCGTGACTACCACCCGCCAGAATTAAGTGCTTTGCTCATGGAGTTAAACAGTCGTGTCCCTCATTTTTTTATGACACTGGTTTACTTGTTTTCAAGAAATACCATAATTCACTCAAGTCAAGCAGTATGTTGCAGCTAACTGTGTTATAATTAGATATTACTTTTAGTTTTAAAATGAAATCTTAGGTGCCTTAGATTTTTTTGAATTTTAGTATTTTAATAAAACTGCAAAAATATAAATTTAGCCAAGTACCTGACCGTTGAGAAGAAAACAGCAAAGTTAGTGATTATTTTAGAAATCTGCAGAAGGTCAGAGTAAATGGACATACTGTGTTTGTGTTGCTGTTGGAAAAGTCTAGCCCCAGTCCATCTCCCCAAATCCAAAACATGACAAATATGCTCAGAAAAAAAAAAAAATTAAAGCCCTTACGAATCGCTACCTTTTCTGTAAAGGGTAAATTGAAAACAACACAATTTAAAGTAATCCCAGTAATACAGAGTTCCTGGTGTTGTTTCTAGAATAATACGAGAGTTTATCATACACATTCTTTCTACTAGAGGAAGAAAATGGATGCAAGCTAAACTATTGTGTAACCTTAGGTTGTAATCTGATTTGAAAATAAGTACATCTTTAAAAGTTACTACAGATTTCTGAGTTCATTATTTTGTTAAAAATTGCTTGTGGAGTACTTCCTTATGTAACAGAAGCCATCCTGAAATGAAACTAGTCTAAAAAAAATTCATTGTTCTGTGTAGTTGCAGCTGTACCTGAAATAAAAATGTTATTGATGACTGAATTTTCTTGTGTGTATATTTGGTGAGCGGTATTAAACAGGAAAAAAGAAATTACTTGTATTTTCTTCGCTCTGTGCTTTGAAAACATCTATTAGATTTCACCCCCCATCTGTTGTAATCAATAACCTGACCATCTTGTTTTTTATTAAATGCACTTACTCTTAATTTCATCCACCAGTGGTTTTAGAGAGAATAATGTGGAGTTACCTATATAGGTTTGACATTATAAATCACTTCTTGGGGCTGAATCGTATAGCGGTATCGATTGATCCTGATATATCACAGAAATTTACTGTCACTTCTGTTTTCAATTAAAGATACAATCAGTCAGATAATGACTTAATTGGATTTTACAGAAGATTGAGTTTTATTGCCCAGTGCTTTACGAGTTTAGTTAAGGAAGATCATTTTATCACACTTGTCAGGCTGCTGCTACTGCAGCCGTGTGCCCTTCGGGGCGGCTGTAGCTGTAGCTAATGTGACGGCGACGCCGGGAGGCTGGGCGGGCGCGCAGAGAAGGGACCCGGCCGCGGAGTCGCCACCTCCAAGGCGTTCATGGTGGCGTTCCTGGAGATGAAGACCCCTAGCTCACGCGCGCACTCGTTGCCCACTGCCCAGGCCCCCTCTATTTCTTTGAATAATCCTGGCTTCTGCGGATCCAGGAGTCTTCCCTTTCCCACTATTCCGTAGATGACCCCAACACTAATTTTGAGAGGTGGTTTTGTCGGAGAAGCTCGGCACGCCCCCTCAATGGGGGGTGGGAGGGTTTCCCCCTCCGGCACAGCCTCCTGCAGTGTCCCTGCGTTTCTGGAAAGCCTGGCGGAGCGCGGATCAGCGTGCCAACGCTCTCTCAGAGCCTTGACTGCTGGACCCCTGGTGCGCCCAGAGGTCCGGCCTCGGGTTTCGCAGCGCTCATCCCGGCCTCCTGCTGGCCCGAGCTCGACTCCCGGCCGCCAGCTCCCTGGGAACCAGGCCTGTCGGGGGGGCGGGCAGCGCCCGTTCTTTGGTGAGGTCGCTCTGGCTTCCCGGCTCTGAGAGTGCGCCTGCCTCGCCTGACGCTTAGTTTGGTTCTGAATCCGGGCTGCTGCCGCGCGGGGACCCTGTCGAGGATCCCGCCCCAGAAGGGCCACTCCCCAGGACCACGACAGACCCAGGCGGAGTCGCGGGAAGATCTGGCTTCTCTTCTCTGCCGAACCCGCGCCCGGTCGGATGGAGTGGCCCCGTGACGCTCAAGTTTGCCAATCGGGTGTTTATTCTCGGCTGCTAGGGAGGAGGGTGCCAGGCAGGCCCAGGGCCTGGCCCAGGTGGACTGCGTTACGAGCTTATCAAATCCTGAACACACACTAGAGCGTAGACACCATGGATTTTCACCATATTTTGCTGCACACATTTGAAGGGCGACCAGGTTCTCAAAGCTCTGCCCCGTGAACAGACTTGCCGCTTCCTCTGGCTGGCGCTATCCGTGGTGTGCGCGGTGTACGAGTGCGCACAACACGTGTGTGCAAGTGTGGGCGTGTCGGGCATCCTGTGCTCGGCTGGTGGGCTGCCCGGACAGCCCTTTCTGAGCCTTTACAGGCGCTTCTGCCATTCCGGCGCGGGGAAACCGAGGCAGGCTCGCCAGGCCGCCTTCTCCTGGGCGCTGGGCAGGCTCCTGCCGCCACGCGACGTGGGGCTGTGGGCAAACGAAGCGCGCGCCTCTCCCCAGGGCCCCCTCCGGCTCCCGCAGTGGCCAGGGGTGAGGGCGACCCTTCCCCCTTACAGTGGACCCTGGGCCGGCGCCCCACCGGGTGCCCCTGGCCCTTACCCCACTAGTGTGCTGCAGAGCCTGCACCGCAGACCGCCTCGGGGAAAGCCACCTGCGGGGCCCAGGGCACCATTGGTGACACTCGCCTCCTCGCTGCTGTCACAACCCCTGACATGCCCGCAGCGGGGGGTCCCTCCGGAAACCCACGGAAGAAACTGCAATTTGGGGCAGGGAAGTGAGCCAGACTCGCTGAGCGCGCCCCGCCGTCTCCCTCGCACCTCGTGGAAACGCGACTCGCGCCCACGCATAAAAACCGAGCCCCCTCTCCGGCCCACGTGAACTGCAGTGCTGAATATACGGGTTTCACACGTACACGTACATTGCACCGCATCTTGACGCTTTGCATCAAGTGGCATTAAAAGCGCTTTATTGAATACGCTTCGCATCACAAAGCCAGCCGGAGAGCAGTCTGTCGAGAGACACGGATCTTCCTTAGCACCCCCTGCTTGGCCCTGTCCCGCTGGCCGGAAGGGGTCGCGCTGTCTCCCGGCGCGCCGCCGCCCCTCTGGGAAGTTTGCCCCGGAAACTTGCACAGGTCGTTCGCCCACCTTTCTACCTGCGCGCACACGCACGCGGACAAGGCCTGAGCCCCGCGCCGGCCGCGCAGGGGTGGCGTCCCTGCAGCTCAGCCGCTGCCATCCTCCTCCACCCCCTCACCGGCCTTTACTCAGCCGCTCGTTCAAGTTCCCCCGCCCCCAACAACCGGCGAACTTTTCAGCAGTGCCAAGGCGCGCTCTGGACGGGTGGGGAGGGTCCTGGACCGGTGGGCGGGGCGAGCAGGGCTGGGGCGGGGCGCTGGGCGAGTGGGCGGAGCCCCGAGTGCTCCGGAAGTCGCTCTGCTCTGGAGGTTCTGGCGGGGCAAAGCGAGCAGAGGGGCTCAGCCGAGATTCCTTGGGGTGGGGCGCCCCTCGAGTACCCCCACCCCGGGCACCGCGTCCCCGCGCAGCGCCTCGGCCTTTCGGCGTTATTCCCCCGCCTCCGGTCTGGCCTCGTGCATGGAGTCGCACCCACTTTCCCTGGGGTGCGGGCGGCGCCCACCGTTTCCCCTCATTATTCCCGGGCCCCTTGAACCGAGCAGGGACTTCTTTTCTGGAAGCCCGCACATCCGCCCCTTGCCCCGCAGCGGGGATGCTCCGGTACAGCAGGGACGGGCAGGCAGGAGAGTTCTGGAAAAGGCTCGACCTGGGATGGAACTGCACCAGCGCCCCGAGAGCGAACACTGGGGAAAAGAAACTGTCTTGTCCCTTGAATGTTGCTCTAATACCCTACAAAGATTTCCTTGGCCTTTTTATGTTTTGTTTAAAATTTTAAAGTCGCAGGGGAAAGGTTATCTTAAAACTGATTTCAAGTCAGGGCTGTTCTCATTTTACCTTGGAGGGTACATATTTTTTCCTTTTTCATTTGCACAGAAGACAGAGCCTGCAGGCCGCCCATTGAGACCTTCTTTCAAAATGGTGTGGGGACGTGACCGACGGCCTCAGCCGACCCCACGCCCTCCTGCTGCCCAGCGCGGGGTGTCCGCTCGGCCCCGGAGCCCCGCCCGCGCGCTCGTGCGTGCAGGGCCGCAGCCCAGAACTCCCGGGGACTTCGTAGGGCAGCGGACAGGCCGATGCCGGAGCGGGAGTTACCGGCTGCGCCCGGGGCCTCCAGGGGCGAGCCTGGGCCCCAGCCCAGTGGGGACCGCTGCGAGGGCGCGCTTCTCTAGTCCTTCCCTTCGAAAGTGCAGGGCTGGGGTCGCCGCTCAGTGGGCCCCTCGGATGAAGTAATGCAGGAGCAACACCCCTACCCCAAAATGTGAGGGCGGCGCGGCCTTGTGTCTGGGCTGGAATCTGCACCGATGGGAGCGCTGGCTCCCGGGCATGAAGCCCCTGCTGGCTTCAAGAGGTCTAGAACGTGCAAGACGGAGCAGCACCTGCCTGGTCTGCACGAGGCCGGCGAGGTTGCAGGCCGTTCTGCCCTCCCCTTTGCTCCAAAAGGCCTTGGCCTCTGAGGATCCTCAGGCTGCCCACTGCCAACATGGTGTGGGGGACATGGCCGTCTAGGACCTTCCTTCTGCTCAGCGGCGTCCCCCGGGCCCGCCTGATGCAGCTTCAGTCACCCCGGCCGCACGTGGTCTCTGCCCTCCGCTCCGCGCCCCAGAGGGCCTCTTCAGGGATGCCTTGGGGGGTGCACACGAATTTCTCCCCAGTTAATTGAGGGAGAACAAGGGCATTGCTGTCACCTCAAAAAAGCGATTGCTGGTTGCCCCACCGCCTCAAAGATATTTGTTCCCCCCTTTCCATCTGAAGCTGGTCGAAGAGCGCTGCCGAGAGGCACGGACAGGGTGACAGCTGAGAAGTCCCTGCGCGAGGAGAGGGGGCTCGTTTTCCTGCATTTAAAGTGTTTTCTGCACGCCCCGGCCTCCAGCGTCACCGTAGTCTCGATTAAAACGGCAAAATAGGAACCCTAACCTTCAGCTCCATGAGAATGCAGCAACGCAGAAAATTTCCTGATACAGTATACATCCGGGACAAGATGAAACTGTCGTTTTGATTAAGCGTTGCTTGCGGTGAGGAGCAGCTACCAGGACTGCCAGATGTGGAGGCAGAACATCCTCCGTTTCTCAGCGAGGGCACCTGCATTCTCAGCTTTTAGATGTACACGCACCGTGAGATTGTGTGTGCGCCGAGCGGGAGAACCACATACGCACATTATCTTTCACCCTTTCGCTGTTAATACCTGTCACAATTCTACCCGGTTAATTGTGGTTTGAAAACACACACACACACACACACACACACACACACATACTCTCCCGACCCAGAGCAGAACGCGAGTGGATCCAGTCTAGTGAGGTTACATTGACTTGTAATCCTCCCCCCTCCCTTTCCAATGTCTTGGATGATTTTTCCCATAAGTGTGTAAGCCGCCGGGACTTAGCAGAAGTGGGCCGCTCCTCCTAAATGTGAGTCGGACCATATGCTTTCTACATTCATTCCCGCTCCGGCTTTTCTTCTCCGCACTAACTGCTAACACGTAATAGTCACCTTGAAATTTCCTCTGCTATTTTCCAATTAAAAGCTTAATAGCCCTGGAAACGGAGTTCATGTGGTGAAGTTTACCATAGCCCCTTGTTCTGAAAGGCTTTCTGCTGGGATCCCATTATGTGCTTGAATAAACCCTTTCTGCAAACAGAAATGGGACTCCGGGTTGTCAGGT